CTACAGCATGCGCATTTCAATCACACTGTGTTGATTTCTCTAATGTAGGACACTTTCTGTACACTGGTTGCAAGTTTAAACTTCAAGCAATGTTCCTCAACTAAACAGGTTAGATGGGTATTTCAACGTTTGACATTAAACAAGAGCAGAGAACTGGCAGCATACTGGAGACACACAATAGGTTTGGGATCAAATGCTGCTAAAACATTGTCATTTGAGCCTCTCTGACTTTATATCCCTCTCTGCTTTCCAGCTACTATATACAGATAAAAAATAAATAAAGGTAAGTGGGCTGTATATAAGAGAATGCAGAGGGACATTTAAACCGATCCCTCAAAAAACATGCACATACATATCAAGTTCTCATATATAGACATAGTAATGTGTGGAAAAATAGCAGACCAATAGCATGACCCCCTCAAAGGAAACTGGCCCACGACTCAACCTGATATCAGCTAAGGATGCTCAGTGAAAGAAAACACACAACTAAGAGGCTTTAGGACCAAAACATTATTGTAGGCTTTGTGTTCCCTTAGTAAATCCAAGAATCTATCCATCCATCTATCCATTTTCTTCCACTTATCCAAGGTTGAGTCACAAGGGCAGCAAGTCCATCAGGGCTGCCCAGACATCCTTCTCGCCAGTGACACTTTCCAAGTCATCCTGGGGGACCCTGAGGTGTTCCCAGTCTAGATGAAATCTATAATCTCTCCAGCGTATTCCAGGGCCTCCTACCAGTTGGACATACCCAGAAGACCTCCAATGGGAGGCACTCAGGAGGAATCCTCAGATACCCGAACCTCCTCAGCCGGCTCCTTTAAATACGAAGGTGCAGCAACTCTACAGCAATTTCTCCTCAGATGTCCATACTGCACATCCTGCCGCAAATACAAGCGGCTGAAATTACTTTCCTCTCTAGGGTGGCTGGACGCAGTCTTAGAGTTAGGGTGCATAAGGTAAATTTAACAAATATGCCCAAATTTAGTCAATATACCACTGGGAATTACACACTGTACTTGTTCTTAATTCTGGACATTAAGAATGCACTCCGGCAGTCTAAAAATACCAACATAAGTCTGGCAGATTACACTTGGAAAGCCATCACCTTCTTACTTATGGGAACTGGGACCACTACAGATAAAGAGCATTCATGCCTTTAATTTCCAGCCCTGAGAAAAAAAATCCTTCTCACAGAATAAAAATAGAAACATTATACTATTAGTACACACAGATTGCAACATCAGATGCATTACAAAACAAAAAAAATGCAAGATAATGGTGAACAAATGTAGGTACAAACTTGATTTGATGTGGGTTTGACTGAAAAACTGCCTTAATCACCACCTGGGACGGCTGTGGCTCAGGAGGTAGAGTGGGTTGTTTCCTAACTGGAGGATTAGCGGTTTGATTCCCGGCTAATCCAGTCAACATGTTGAGGTGTCCTTGAGCAAGACACTGAACCCCCAGTTGCTCCCGGTGATGTCACCAGTGTGTGAGTGCTTGGGAGTGTGAATGGGTGAATGGCCGATAGTGTGAAAGCGCTTTGAGTGTGCTGTAAAAAGCATAGAAAGGCGCTATACAGGTATAAGACCATTTATCAATCCTTTTTCATGTAATTAGTGTATAGTTATAATGGATTAGGTAGTGGCTCCGTCTGACTGGGAATCAAAACAGTTACAGTCCACTGGCTTTAGTTTCATATTTTATGTCTGCATGTGAATTAAATCAACAGCGTAGTAGTTTGCAGATTTACACCTCCTTATGATTTCACTCTGTTAGTTTGGAGCAAGTACTGGGCAGTTGACAACATAATGTAGTTCCCCAAAATAAAAAAAACGAACTGACATCGGGCCACCTGCACACAGTCAAGAAACTCACAAAGAAATTTCTCAATCTCAGGAGAGCAGTAAGCCATACCTGATTCAATTAACATCTGACCTTTACTCATTCAACACACATAGCATAAACACATAAAATAATCAGTGGATGATGGGCCGTGCCTGTAGACCACACTATTACACTAACCAGCTGCACCCCGTCCTCACCAACACATCCCAACAGAGTACAGTCAGCACAATCTGCTCCTTGATGCTCACACTGTGCAACCCGATGGTAACAGCCAAGCCACACAGCTAGCATGTGAATGGGCCAGATCCTTTTGCAGGCTCAAAAGAAAATGGAATCAATCAGCAATCTAGACTAAGTCCAAAAACAAGAGGAAGGTCTTGTTTTTTCCCCTTTTTTCTTTTTTGTATAAAATGTTTGCACCTTGTTATTCCATTTTATAATGCAGAATTATAACCGTAAATTTGCGATACCTAATAATGAATTGATGATAAAATAATGATAACCTACTGTAAAACATAAAACACAGACTTATCCAGTTGTCATCAAGCTAATGGTTTGCAGTGTTTTCAGAGGCTTTTACTGGCAGCCTCACATAAAGCCGCAAAATGTCCCAAGTACTGTTCAAGACAGTGATCACATAAACCTGTCTACTCTATGTCAAAACAGTGAGTCACAATCAACACAGTTTTGCACAGCCAAAGTAATTAAAGCTTAAGTACTTAATTGTTCTTGTGCCTTGAACGGACCAAACTTGATTATCAGTACACACCGTCAGCTGTATGTCACCTACAGTTTGACCATGATTCCACCATGATTCTAAATTCTCCGACTATGCAAAACAACAAAAATAAACCTCTTTAGTTGACTTGTTTTTGCGTATACACATAGCTGGCTTCATCATATTTTGCCTACTTATGTGCATGTCACCCACAAAATCTGCATCAACCTTTGTTAAAATTAAACCTGTGATCTACCCAATAAGCAGTGAGTACTGTATGTAGTATATGTCATATACCTACTTGTATTTTCTGTTGGCCAACGACAAAAGGAACTACACATGACATTTTTTTATACTGACAACATGAAACAAATTTACATTTCAAATTTGGAGCTCACAGTGCAACTAAGTTAGCTCCATTGATGCAGCGTTCAAAAACTGTATCACAGACATTGTGTGGTACTAATGAGCTACAGAGGGGAAAGAAGAAATAAGAAATAATGGAGAGAGAGGACAGAGAGACGATATGATGAGGGAAAGGTAGCACACACTGCAGTGCGTATTTTGAGGGTGGATACTTGCTAAAAGATATTCTACACAAATGAATGTAGTTTGTAGTTTACTGCAGCTGTTACTTGTAATTACAGATGACTGAAACAGTCACATGTGGCTCATCTACTTCTTTGCAGACAAATAAAACCACAGGTCTTCTTTGCTGAGCAGCACATCAGCTAATACATGCTAACTGTAATCTGTCCTCGTTTGCCAGATAATCAATATGCTTCCTGTTGATATTAAGATGACAGAGGCAGATTTTAAATGTATGTACCCACACAATATTACATTAGATCCAAATATCAGCCTCAGCTGAGCTAATGCATAATTAGTAAATGATATTAGGTAATATATTTATCATCCATGATAAAAGAGAATGGCATGACCTGTACATTTGTCTTAATCTTTAGTTAAACCTTTCACCTTAAATTTTGTACTGTATCTTACATACAGTACAGTGATCTCTACTGACAGCTAACTCATTTGTAGAAGACGGCTTTTAAGAATGCAACAACTGAATAAACATGGCTTTTTCAGTACAGTTTTAAACTTGTCTTTAAACTTTCCTAAAGTGCAGCAAAGGCATGGAACCAATTTCCACATGCAAAAATGCAGTGTCCCAATTTGTAGGGAACAACATGAATAGTTTGTAATTGGTTTTACAGAGAACATTAACATATAAGTGGACTGTGCAAGAATCACATGAACTAATGAATGCGGTTCCCAAGTCTGCCTTGCACTGAGAAGTTGAGATTAAATACTAAAATATAAAATGACCGCCTTTTAGTAGGACTGCCTGGCAACCTGCTACATGGAGCTGCTCAAATCCATGAGGAAGTCGAACAGGAAGAGGGCATTCAGTGATGTTAAGAAGACAATTTTATAATTTTATAGCCTGTGTATTGCAATGCCTTCAGTCATAGAGAAGCATTCTTGTATTTTTGCAGAAAAAAAGTCATCTGCAAAATATCTGTACCTGCTGTGTGAGAATGTGTTTCATTAGGACATACAAAATAAATTTAACTCACATCAGTGAATTAAAAAATTCTGGGGACAGATGATGAGTCTGTGCTGCCTGAACGACAGCGCATGCGATCTGTTTTGATACGTCGCAAACATCAAGGAGAGAGAGAGGAAAGTGTAAAATATACTGTAGTTCAAAGACTGTGTAACATAATCAACTACTGATGTAATTCATGCAGATCCTGGTCTTCAAACAGACAAGCACAAACTGAACAAATGAAGATACGTCACATTTTCTCGTGCAACATGGTGGGGATATGAAGTTCAAACAAAATCAACGGAAGGAGACTTTTAATAAAAAATATTTTAAAATTTCAGTAATACCCCACATTGGCATGTACCTCAAAAAAGCATCTAATGACAAGTGTCCTTCTAAACAGTACACAGACCATATAAACCCAAGATAACTACCAGGATAAAAACACTGTGGCTCAACTCTCCAAGTACAGTAGCTCCAGCTTTGAGCAAGATAAGTCTTAATAAATAAAAACAGCTTGCAAGAAGGAAGCATCTACATTTTGGCCATGTCTGTCTAGTATTTGCACAGTGTTCCTGTATAATCATTAACTTCTGTGTTAGACTTCTACAGTACATAAAAAGGGAGTAAAGGTTCCAGATTTATGACCATGCAGTATATAGCATGTTTTCAGAAGGAGCAGGCATTTTATTGAGCTTTTCATTCATTTGAGGTGAATACACTGTAAATAAATTAATTCATGTTTATAATTAGGCATCATGGTGAGCTTATATGGCATGTTTATATATTTTTTCATATAGTATCACCAGTTTTTTCAATGTGCTTTATGTTCTAAGATTATGATGGGTGTGTTTTGTGGAAGAAGGGCGTTAAACTCACTTGATAAAGCACCGTGCTCCTTCAAAAGTGTATCCTTCTTCCCATCCAGTGGGTAGGTCTGTGGAAGAATGGACAAAATGAACGTGGTAGAACAAACAGGTGTTGTGTGTATCAAATTAACTTGGCTGTCAGTTCACACACTGAGACGCAGAGGTTCAACAATTACTCAATTAAACAATCAGTCAATTCAAAGAACAATAATTAGCAACCATTTGGAAAATTTAATTATTGTTTTAGTTATTTTTCAAGCAAAAGTGCCGATATGTGATGGTTCCAGCTTCTCAAATATGAGGATTTTCTTTTATTTAATTTAACAGTTATTGAAATACTCTAAGAGTGGCACATTAGGGCAGTGGTTAGCACTGTCGCCTCACAGCAAGGCAATTCGGTGTTGGAAGCTGCAGTCCAACTGAGGCCTTTCTGTGTGGAGTTTGCATGTTCTCCCTGTGCCTGTGTGGGTTCTCTCTGGGTACTCCGGCTTCCCCCCCAACAATCCAAAGACATGCAGGTTAGGTTAACTGTCGACTCTAAATTGGACCTAGGTGTACATGTGAGTGGTTGTCTGTGTCAAGCCTCGTGACAGACTGGCAGCCTACTCAGGGTGTACCCCGCCTCTCGCCCAGTGTCAGCTGGGACTGGCCCCAACCCCCCCTCCTACCCTCTACAGAATAACCCAATAATGGATAAATGGTTGGATGACATATCTCTAGACTTTGGACTGTTGGTTGAACAAATTAACCCATTCTTAGATTCCACTTTTAGGGTTGTAACTAAGGATTACTTTGATTATTGATTAATCTCTTCACTACTGTCAATTAATTGTTTAGTCAATAAAATGTCAGAGAATAATAAAATAAAGCCCATTCATCACACATAACTAAAGCTCAGTGTGAACATTAATTTTTGGCTTTGTCTGACCAGCAGTCCAACCCCCCCAAAAATTCTATTTACTATTACATAATTCAAATATATGAAAATAATCCTCACAGATAAGAGATTGGAAGAAAGGAATATAGGCTATTCCATTTTGACTGAAAAATTACTTCCTTCTTTACTTATTATTAAAACAGTTGCAGCTTATTTTTGTCAGTTATTTTAATTATTTACAGTAATGCTGCAACTCCATTCACTGAGTTCTGCAAAATAACAATTTTTCTTTTATATAGTAAAAATAAAACGAAACAATCAGCAGACTATAGCAGTGAAAACAATGGTGTGATAGTTGCAGTGGTACTGAGATGCTGCAGCTACTCAACAGCATGCCATTAGTGGGAAAGCTCTGCAGAGACTTGAGCTTATTTGAGAAGCCTGCTACAGAAGGCTATATAGTATCACGGTAACGTCACCGGCATCCACGTTGCAATAAGGACATTTTGTCATGTCGCACACTGCTGTAAAGACTATTTGGTAACATGTTGTAGAGTTGGGCTAGACGAGGCTAAATGTGTAGATTTACAGCTATCCTTTCTTTGCTCCCGAGTCTAATGCAGCTGTTGCTATTGCAGTTACCTGTCAAACTGGCTTTGGCTCTGTGGTCAACTAAACATAAAATATAGGCCATATGACACAGGTTAAGTGATATCGGTTCGAAGCTGGTCAAGTTGCATTAATTTACACGCTGCTGGTTGTCAGTAAAAGTCGTCGTTCCACAAGTTCACAAGCAGCCAGCGTTCGCTTCTCTGACCAAACAACCTGAAGAAGAGGCTCGCGAGGAGAGTGGCATGCGCCGGGCAGAGATGGGCACGAGGGGGCTCACTTTTCACAGCACGAGCGCCAAAAGCCGCTCGTGCGTTAAAAACACAGCATGGATGTTACAGCCTCTCTCCAAGTGTGGGAAGTATGGGTCTAAGGATATGGGTAACATAAACAGATGACGGCAGACATGACAGACGCTAGAGACAACAAAGAAACTTGACAGTCGTGAAAAGTGACACCTTACCTGGAGTTTTCCTGTGTCCGGTTATTACCGCCTCGCCACTTAGTGGATGCAGCCAGGTTGTACTCTTGGCTTCTTCGCTGTTGGGAGAGAAATGCACTCATTATTACACGGCGACTTTGTTCGCATCAGAAACGGGCAGAGATGACTTGAGACGTTGTCTCTGAAGGGATATTTACTTAACAAAGAAGACGCGTCCATCCCGAGTAACCCCGTAACTCCAGGAAGAAGGGAGACCAGAAATCCACTCGTGTTGTAGATCCGCCGCCATGTCTGGCAGTACTGTATGACAGCCGCGCGGCTCCGCTCTCACAGGCAGCGCGTACACGGAAACCTTGGCAACGGCGAGTGGCTGAGGGGAGGGCAGGAACCCCGGGGCTAGGGCTCACAGTTACAGTCAAATCATTTGTCTAGCAGATTATATTATTTACTGACATATAACATTTGTTATTTTTGTTTGAGGGAGACTGCTATGCCACTTCCCAAATAAGTTTGTTATTGTTTGTATGTTTGCTTGTTTTGATTGGCTGCCTGTAACTATTCTTTTGTATGGTTGTGGATAAACATTGTTTGCAATTGGGATGTCCAGGGCAAAATATGCTGGGCCTCTACAGGAATGGATGGATTACTGATGGAGTACCAGTCACAGGCCCAGGGGCCGTATAGACCAGAGAACTGCCAAGAGAATGTTAACCTTTCTGTTGAAAGGTCGATGAAATAACTACAAAAAGCCTGAAAACAAGAAATAATACATGCAAAACAACTAAAAAGATATTCAAAACAACTAAAAAGATACACAAAGTGAGTAAAATCGGACAGAAAAGACCCCCAAAACAGCAAAATGACAGCAAAATTCGCCAAGGCACTAAAAGAGAAAACAACTACAAATAGATGCAAAACAGTTTAATAAAAGAACAGAAAACAAGTACAATAGCTACAAACTAACTAAAAAGAGATGGAAGACAAGTAGAAATGAATGAAAAATGGTTAAAAACAGATTCAAAACAACAACAAAAACACACAAACTGACTACACGTCATGTGGTTGCTCAGCCTGTGAGTCTTGCTCCAGAAGTGTAGCATTTGTCTGTGCCTATAAGCCTTTTTCATGATAGACATTTTTAAAGTTGTAATGATTTGTCAATTAATAAATAAGTCAGTCAACAGAAAGTCTCCGGGCACTTTCATCTCTACCTTTACTGTAGGTTCTTGGTCTCTGCCTTTTATCATTGTGTTGTGAAACTGCAGCCTTTCACACCACACAAAGGCAAGTCATCCAACACCGCTTTACCTGGCCTGTTTGTTGGTGTTGTGTTGCATTGTGTTCTGGACACATGACAGGGCACTGTTGGTGGCGGAAGGGAAGTGGACCTATTTGCCAACTGCTATATCATCCACTATGGATAATAACTCTAAATGAAGGGGAAGCAGTGACGCCGCACCTCATCACTTGTCAAACACTGACCTCTTTGTATTCGTATTACTTGGGGCAGAATAACAGGGCTTTCTTGAACTGTGGCATACAAAAGAAGCATTTATTTTAACCAGGAAATTAGGCAATGACCTGTGAAGTGAAACAACATAATATTTAGCAAAGCTTAGTGGTGAGCGTTCATTAGCATCATATTTATTTGAGATAGAGTGCAGAGGCAACCCATTCCCTAACTTTCTAATTTTGAAAATTCTGACTTTTTTTCAAACAGCTAAATTATCTTTTTAAGAAAACCAGTGCCATACTCTGCCCAAGCCTCAGCCTTTCCATTACTATTCAGTCTCTTTCAGAATATCCATGAATGAGAACCAATAGCATGGAAATGATAGGTTTAGAGCCTGATACCGGTATGTGCCCTGGGACCTGAAAGTGAGGCAGTGCTTGAAAGCCATGTTCCCGGCTTCTCAGTTTACTAAGAGGCAACTCGGTGGGCCTATTTCTTTCCAGAGTGTGTGAAATATCCAAGCACAGTTTCCTAATCCTAGCTAAAATTATAGGATAACAAGATCTATGACACACCCAGTTTTGGATTAATGAGCATACTAGTCAATCATTTTAATTCAGGTTTCTTTAAATGGACTTTTTTCATAGGATTGCGAGGAACAGATTGAAAACTTTACAGCTGCTCTAGTGAATATGCAAGTTTGCATGAATTTCTATTTTCAATGTCTGACAGTACTGACAGAACAGAAAGTTCTGTGGAGCATTTCATGTAATTATTCTTTTGGCAGCAGCAGACATTTCTCAACTGCAGCCTACAGTCGCCAGGATGAATGATATATGCTTCACTGTACTATACTGTAGCTTATCATCTGCACTCAAGCAATTCAGTACTATTTAGTTTAAGTGGTAGCCTAAATGTGAGTGACATGGTACATTTGTCTTTCTGTAAAAGGTAGCCCTAGTCCAGGACATGCATGCGGTGCTGTGTGTAAACCTTTATCATCTGCATCAAGTTGAGTAATAGAAAATGGAAATAGATGGGGAACAAGCCAAACAGATCTGGAGCCATTGAGTCCTTGACCCCTGCAGATTTGTTCCAGCTGTTTATTCATTTTGTCAGGAACTGATTTATCTGAGATCTACTAAACGTCTGAATGCACACAAACTAACTCAGAAGACACTTTGAAGGAGCTGAAATCTTTGAATACTCTTTTTCTAAATACTAGAGTCTGAATGTGTAATTGAGAATCACTATTAAGTACATACTGTGTTGTGTCTGGTTAACATTGTGAAACGCATTCTTACATAAGTGCCTGATGAGAGGCGAGGCAAGGACTCTTTGCTTGGCGACACAGGCCAGACCTGAGGCATCAGAATGTAATTAATGGACGCACATTATCAAGCAGCTGTTGGAGGGTTTTGTTCTGGTGCCAGCTCAGCAGTAGTCTCATGTCTGTCTGTGCTAGGTAACAGGGAGGGTTCTCCTTTTTAGAATGGAGCCACTCTGCTTCTTTGCAGCCCTCTCATCCTCTGGCATCAAAAGCCCACACAGATAGAGCCATCTTTCAGCCTGAATGCTTTGAAATTATCAGACTGTAAATATAGAAATTGTTGTTATACTGACACCTAATTACTATGAACTGAAAATTTGTGAATTAGTGAAAATTTATGTGAATACATAAAAATAACTGTGCCAGATACACAATAGCCTCAGGCAGAATAATACTCAGTCTACATGTACAGTATAACTGGACAAAATATACTTCCAGGGCACAATAACTTCCTGTGGTACTATACTGTTTATCCCATCCTTTACACACTGCTCAGTGATGCGAAGACGATGTCATCTGTGAGTTTCTATTTCACCACACTGGATCATTTGTCTGGCATGCACAACCCACAAACCAGTACAACTATTAGGGCCAGTCAAGTCAGCAGGCAACATTGGAAAAATGGTATAACGCTTAATTCAGTTGTAGCTGCAGAAGTATGCACTACTAGCGATACAAATGACAGGAATATGGGCCACTAGGTTTTGAACGTTTGCGGAAAAAAGGCCCTGAAATGAGATGCAGCCCTCACAACTCACCTCTGAATCATTAAACACACCTCCCTGAATCACTGTTAGTCACAGCTTGATGAAAACCCAACCCACAAATGGCTCTCTGTTCAACACAGTGATGACCTCACTGGAGCCTTTTGGGCGCAGTCCAAATGTTTTTTCCCATGTTTTATGAGCGTTCCACTAGTGATATGTGCCATTAAGACTGAATGAGTGAGTACTGTTTTGCAATTAGGGGATGGTGTAGGTGGCCTGAGTCAGTTGTAGTGATGGTGGGAGGAAATGTATTACAGCACTGCTGTAAAAGAAAGAAAAAAAATCAATCATAATGATTTTTCCTAGACTTACTAGGTTTTATGTTGCAATGTAAAGTAAAAGCAGAGATGGGCTTGTGTCCATTGTGATAGTTTATTCATGCTTACACACTGAAAAGGTTGTGAAAAGATTGACTGTGTTTCTTTTCACAGAGCCCTAGAATGAGGTTAGGAGTCCTAGTCATACTGTAAGACCAACAGCAGAACCAGACTGGAATAATGTCACTTAGTGTACATGTGCATGAAAAGGCCACAGCTCACAGTCAAAAATACTGTGTGACTGTTCTTCAAACTTTTTCGAAGACTCACTTTTTCCTTTTGAAGTAGTATGAGAGTTCTTAAGTTTTTAATCTTCTGTGTTTAATTCTGTCTTCTATTTTTTATTCTTTTGATTTATGATGGCATTTGTTGTTTTTTATAGCACTTTGGTCAACTCTGTTTTGAATGAATGTGCCTTATAAATACATTTTGATTTGAAATCAAATAAATATATTTTGATGTATGTCTGTTAAATATCTAAAGTAACATAATCATCATAATCTTACCTACATGTTGTCCTTAGGATTATGGATTTAGACAAGGAGCTCTGTGAATACATAATGAAATTAACATGCCTCCCTCCAGCTCAGCTTTATTAATTCCCTATTGATGGGTTCCCTATTGATTACGGATTACTCACATGATCCCACTGTGGTTTAAAGTAGTGGAGGTTATTAATTAAGAGAAAGGACTACTTAAAATTGATCAGGGTCCTAGGTGCCACTGTGGTATAATGTTTAAATTCCCTGAGATGGGTGTGATTTTATGATATACAATTTAAGATTGTTGTATGTGCTGACGTCACAAGTGCTGACGCACAACACTGTCTGGCTGCTGTCTTCGCCCTGCGGTGAACTGTATATATTGTATGCCTAAGTAGCAGACTGTAGATCAGTTCTAGAGGAACTAGGCCAAGGGCTTGTGTAATGTAAAAGTGCTGTGAAAGGCATGATTATCTGACCGTGTGAGAGTGGAGGAGGCCACATTCAACTGCAGACATCTTAAATGTCTGAGGTGAAGATGTGAAACCAACCATTAATACATACATTTGATATTAATAGAGAGAAAAGTTATCCGTTTTTTATACATATGCTGATGTCACATAGGTTACTGTGTAAGAGTGCAAACACAACATCTGTATCTTTTTCCAATATTCAGGATGTCTCAGCATGCAGTCCAGCCCTGTTGACACATATATTGCGTGTCTGATGGGAAAGCAACAAACAGGTCATGAGCATCTTCTTAAAACAACAAAGGTCATGTGACTGATTCCAGTCCAGGAAGAATTCTGTAGGGCAAATAGCAAGAATTTCTCAAAGACAAGACTGATATTCCCAAGTGATCCTGTTGTTTGGGACAATAAAGTCAACTTTTTGGGTATCTGATTCTCACTCTCGCTTTGCTCAGAAACTACTGTTTCATTCAAAGACAGCTGATACGTCAAAAAGATGTCCTAATGAATAAGAGGACATGCCTATATTTTTAATTATACAGATGTGATTTGATGTTACCCAGGACAGAAGAAAAATAAAAACTTTGTACTG